AGGACCCAGCACATCATATACTCCTATGATAGAAACATTTCGAATGAATCTTCTGTTAAACCTCTGGGGATGACTCTCGAAGATGAATTGGAGTGGAATAGTCACATAAACTATCTTTACAACGAACTGTCTAGCCGATTAGTTTTGCTGCGTAAAAGGATAAATATTCTGGGCAAAGATGTGCTATAGACTACATACATACATACATACTCTTTTTTTCATTCGCATAAAAGCTATGGTGATTTTATGAGAAAATTCTAGTCAGGCATCAAGAGTATTCAAATTACAGCAGAAGGCATTAATAATAATCGAAGATACGCGCTACGTATCTTTTAGGCCCTTTCCATCAAAAACCAAATAATGCCATTTGCTTGCATCTATATACATAGAACCTTTATTTAATTGCACAGAAATTAGGGAAATCGGAAGTTGAACTCTGATTTCCACAACTATACCACCCGAAATAAAAAACGGCTGAGGCCAAATAGGTTCAAACTGAAAATATGTTCTGACGAAGCTCAGCATGTATCTTTTCGAAAAAATAAAATAAAAAAACATTAACTGAACATTGAATAGAAGAATATATAAACTACACAATTCACTAGTTCAAACTGGAAATATGTTCCTCCAACTTTCCCAACTTCAATTTATACAATGAACTTAGTGAAGGCCTGGCGAAGCTCACTCACCATGTATCTTTTCAAAAAAATAATATTAAAAAACATTGACTGAACATTCATTAGAAGAATATATAAACTACACAATTCACTAGTTCAAACTGAAAATATGTTCCCCAACTCTTCCAACTTCAATTTATACAAAAAACTTAGTGAAGGCCTGACGAAGCTTAGCATGTATCTTTTCAAAATAATAAAATGAAAAAAATGACTGAACATTCAATAGAAGAATATATAAACTATACAATTCACTAGTCCATTGCTTCTAATGATATGAAAGTGCAATGCCCTTAATCGTTACATGTTTACTAGATATGGCAGTGATCAGATTAAAAAATAAAAAAAACCATGGGCGTAGCGTAACATGAGTAAATATGTGAATACTACGCCCAACGAATTGTTTTTCCGTTTTTAATACATCATCTACAATATCTACATCATTGTTATTATTTTTCAATAGGCCTTTTCATCATAAGACGAGCGCAAACGTAGCCGTTATATTGAAATGGTGGTAATTCAAAACATTCGTACTGTTCAATGAAAAATATATTTTCAAAAGTGCTTCATAATCCGGCAACCTCGTAATCCGTTTCCACACATTGCTAAAGTATATTTAGTGGCTTACATTTTGGGTTTGAAAACGGTTTCATTGAGCTTGCACTGTTCGTTTGTTTGTTTATTCATTCATTCGTTTGGATTTGCCCTGTTTGTTTGGGTCAAATTTAGTAATTGAAGTTTGACCTCATCCTGTTGACACATTGATCAGAAATTTGGTATACACATTCAATTTTGATGACAATGAAATTGAATTCTCTATCATTGTAAATCCATTATGGCCGCAACTACAAAATGGCGGATTACATGTCGTTTCAGAACTACCTCAATATGGATATCAAATGACAGGGCGTATTTTCCAAAGTATGCCATACTTCTCAGCAATCTATGACAGTGATCAGATTAAAAAATAAAAAAAACCATGGGCGTAGCGTAACATGAGTAAATATGTGAATACTACGCCCAACGAATTGTTTTTCAGTTTTTAATACATCATCTACAATATCTACATTATTGTTATTATTTTTCAATAGGCCTTTTCATCATAAGACGAGCGCAAACGTAGCCGTTATATTGAAATGGTGGTAATTCAAAACATTCGTACTGTTTTAATCTACAATGGCTGGGCAAGGAATATTATCTCTACAAACGAATGAATTATTGGAAAAAACCATTGATGGTGCTTCACTTGTTTATAATTTAGTTGAGGCTCATAATTGTGAACAATTAAAATGGTGGTTAAAACGTCATGTGCTTCCGCAAAAAGGAAAAAAAGTGAGCTGATTGAGAGGTTAGGTATCAGCATTTCTTTACTATCTAAAAACATATGAAAAAATAGTATTTACAGTTTTATCCTCATTATTGATGTCAATTTATGTCATGTAATTCAATGCATAATTTTCTCTCTTGTAACCAGATTTTCCTCAAAAAACAATCTTTAAAATATATGCGCCTTTCTTCAAACATGCAATTGATGAAAAAATGTATTCGTCACCGCTTTCAATATTCGTCTCACTACCTAGCCCTCTAGCCCCTTGTATAAATTGACAAATGGAACCAACAAACAACTTTTAGACGTGACCGTGTCATCATTTATTTCATGTTGACTATGAATAATGGAATTTTATTCTAAAGTGAATGAAAGAAACCAGTCTGCTTGTCCTCCTTGATGAATGACTGGAAAAAGAATGAAGAATCAAATTGGATTGTTTACGGATTTGGGAAAATTCGCTAAGCAACAATTTCCATTACAACTATACCACGACAACAGGATTTGCTGAAAATCAATTTTTGGCTTTCATTCACGAGCTGTGTCAGTGATTACGACGGATACGTTTTGCAGTTTATTGGTCGTTACCAGTTCGACGAATGCTGCATGAAATAATATGAATTCAAAGAGTTATTCAACATGAGCCGGGTATACTCTGTAGTTGTGACAATAAGTATTGCCTTGTGAGTAAGTGAGAAAGGCTATTCTTCTGCAACTAGCAACTATTTCAACTCGATCAGATAGGTCTGGATTTCTAACGAAGCCGATGTGGTGAGTGAGCTTTCGGGTCAGTTTGCGAAAGTGGAACTCCTGAATTTCCATGTGAGAAATAATCCAGATGACATTCGACAGACTATCTAGTGAAGAACTGATTAGCAACTCAAATGTGAGGCTTGGGTAGGTGTCTGTAATGCTTTTCAGAAAAAAAAAACATTTACATGGTTCCTTAGGCAGCCACAAAACGCTGTCACGATCCTCCAAGGTAACCTGTAATCATCCAGTCCGGAAAATGCAGCTACGGCTGCTGACAGAGCTTNGTGGATTGATCGATATTGGGGTTATCGGATATTGAAGTTGTTAAATTATCAGCTGCATGAACCTTTCCAGGAACCTGAGTGTGAGTTATACATGATGCCATATCAGATTCATTTATACAAATTCTCACTCATGATTGTGAGTCATGATTTGAGAGCAAGCGTTTGCACCGAAGCTTTCTACGTTGAGAAGAAGCCTGGTATCTCAGAAGTAACTACTGCCAGTTGAATTTTACTTTCGATTCAGCATTCAATATACTACATCAAAGCTAGATATTTAATAATATCGGTTTTTCAATTCATATATTTTGGCAAATTTTTGACGTTTTAGATGAACACCTGAACTAACTTGTGGTACCAAACGTTTCGCCTGTTACTGTGGCGGACATCATCAGTGGTATGTTCATTGACTGTGAGTACGAAGGTTATATCTGAAAGTCTCAGTAATAACTGACTCCATTATATAGTTGCTTGTTAATGATTCGGTTTACTTGAAATATTTCAAAATTCTTCCTGTCTTTGGATGGTTAACTTGTTTTTCTGTATTTCACTTGTGGATAATATTTGCAATACTGTTCCATAAACATATACAAAATTTGAAATCAATTATGCTTTTCGAGGAATATCAACAATATTGAACAACATATTCTTCAATACATACTTTTTGTGAACGAAATCTTTCAAAAGATACGTTTCATGAAACCAAACTTCAGAAACGCGTTTTTTGAGTGCAAAAGTTTTAAAGTGCTTTCATTGACTTCAAAAAATATGATCATCAATTCATATTAATGAATCTGCAATATTTTCATATATTAGGGCTTCCAAACAAATATCCAATATCAGTTGAATCGTGCCTATTTTTTAAAATGACTTACATTCACTTCGCCTTGGGAAAAAGTGCAACTTTTATCGACATTAGTTATGATTTTTCAATATATAAACTCATAACTGACCTCTTATCAATTTTTCATACAAAACATGTGGACAACGGAGAACTGAAAAAAGTGCACCGGTTGGAAGAATGTGAAAGATAATCTGCAACCAAATTTGACAAAAAAGTATTATGTTACATTTGTATTTGAAGAACGTCCAGTATCGACGCTATTTTAGAAGTGAATCTTAACAAATATGTAGAAATAACTATTTTTTTCATTTCAACATTGCATATTACGGATAATATTTTGCTATATGGAATGGAAATTCAAAAATCAACAGAAATTCAAGAAAAAGGTTGAGAAAAGTTTCGAAATTATTCTATGACGAAGTTGATGAATATGATATGTACTATATAGAGATAGTATTCCGTCATAATTGCACGTTTATGCGGAATGCCCTATATGAAAACAAAAATGTATGCCAACATACGTATTTCCGTTACAATATATTTTACTACCAATTATAATAGTTATCAGAAATTCTGCCAAACGATGTTAATGAAAAATTTGAAGAATTTCAATAGTTCAGTATTATCTAATATTTATCACGGTATTATGTGAACGATTTCATAAAAAATTCTCTGTAAATTTCATCGCTATTTTTCATCGTGTACCCCAGTTTTTTATATTTCAACAACTTTCAAGTTCTCTCTTGATTACTTGATTATAGGAAAAAAATAAATATTATCTCACGTCCAATTTATTTCAGAGCAGTTTCAACTCATTCTATAAAAACCAATTTTGATTTCATGAGACACCAAACAACATTCCATTTTGTTTTCCACATGCATTCCTGAAGACATTGCGAGAGTTGATACTTCAAGTGTGGCTGGATGATTTGAATTTCGCATTTTTTCAATATACCTATATAAGATATATTAGGAAAAGATACCCAAATCAAATACAAATCGCCAATCCAGATACGCTTTTAAGAGAATGAACAAAATTATAGTTCACGACAAAATGGAATATACATAAATCAAAGGCGCTACTCATTCATTTCAAGTTCGAAATCTATCAATCGACTCACCTTCATTAAGACCATCACACCCACCCCTATTTTTATAGTAACTGAGTAAAATAAATTAACGATTCCTAATAAACACTCAATACGCAACTACTCGAAAACAAGATTACTTACTTGGCTGCGCATTGTTTCATAATGATTGGTATAAAAAAACCATGGGCTCTGAATAAATAATAGCTTCATTACTTCTAAATCCAGTGAGTATAGCCTTGAAAAAAGAAGAAAGATTAACCCAATAAAACCCTATAGTCCAAAATGAATCACCAAGTGAATTTGTATTAATTCGGCCTCACTTCTTGATTGATGTTATTGTAGATCGAGATTTAGATGCGAATTTCAACTGATTTGCATTGCTTGCATTTCGATATTGGGAGTGAGAACATTTTTAAACTAACTTGCGATAACAGCTTATTGATTTATTTGCAGGCAATAATTAGCTGTGTGAAAATTGAATAGAATAAAATATGTGATTCGATTTAAGTTTCTCATGTTTATTTTCAGCTTCATGGATAGTAAAAACTGCATTTGAATGCAGTTTAAATGTTTCGTAAATTATTCTGATAGTTGATGGATTGTATAGAAAAGTACGACGACATTAGTAGCGCCTGTTACTATTAGTCCAGTCATTATAGTAAGTTCACCTCGGAATTCGAGATACCCAGCTGTAAGTCTGTAAATACTTGTATATCGACACCCTAAAAGTTGTCTCGAAACCTACATATGGTAGGGTGTAAGCAACTATTGAATTTCAAGGTCAAAGGTCACAAAAAACCTTTTTTTTCGCTTTTTTGAAAATATCTCATTTCCTATGGGTTTTTTGCTATTTGTATTCATTATCAATATTGTAGAATACAAAATTCTCTACAAATTTTGTTTGAAAAAATTTTTTATACGGTGAACCGTTTTCGAGATAGAGGGCGGAGAGCACGCGGCCACAGCATCACTTCAGGTCAACCGGTGCCTCCGGTCGAAAACTATTTAAGCTTAAATGACTGGATTATATGCAAATATAATACAATCGCATGTTATTCTACGTACATTTCTAGTATGAGTTACAACGAAAGAATGTCTTTGATTCTACTCGTATCATTGTTTGTCAATGTTTCACACAAAAACATGTTTTATTGCTATTACTTATTTTTGTGGAAGTCGTTTCACTACACCTGCGAAATTATTAAAATGGGAAGTCAAATACTGTTCATGAAATATAAAAATACCAAAAGTCAATGATAAACTAGCCTGATACAATATAAATATTAATGATTCGTCTCGCAAGATAAATAACGCCCAAGAAAAATATGGATTCGAAAGTATGGCCTTTTTTGAACGGTTTTGCCCTGTTTGTTTGTTCGTTTGGTTCAAATTCAGTAATTGAAGTTTGACGCCCCTCTTGTTGACATTTTGATCTAATATTCAGTAAACACCATAGGTATTGTAATAAATACAATCTGATGAATTCAGTACCTTTCCAAGCTACCTCAATATAGGTATTGAACGACAGGGCTCGACTAATGGAATAGCAGTACACTTTGGAAAAGATGCAAATTCAAGATGGTCGCAGCTACCAAATGGCGGATTACATATTTTCACACAACTACCACAATATGGGTATCGAATTACAGGGCTTGACTGGTAGAATAGTAGTACACGTTGAAAAAAATGCGAATTCAAGAAGGTCACAGCTACAAAATGGAGGATTAAATGTTACTTTGTAATACTGGACAATAAAACTGTTCAACATGAAAAATTGTTTTCACTTATTTTACTCAACTTGACTGTTAAATTATAATTTGAAACAAGTGAAGGAATATAACAAAGTCGAAATTATAAAATGATACTTCTCATGATAGGGGATAGCACTAATTTTCATCAAGTAACGGAGATTGCGGTTGCTGTATTTCGTGAAATTGAAGGAGCATTTGACAATGCACAACCTAAATTTATAGGATTGTCTCTGGCTAGGAAAGGTATAGAATCGACCATAGCTGGCTGGATCTATGCCATGCTGGTAAACAGAAATGCAACTACGACACTTCAAAGAGAGGCCATTAGGTTCAGGGTCATCAGGGTCTGCCCTCAAGATGGGGTTCCATCTCCCCTTCTGTGGTCGCTCCTGATGAATAGTCTGCTTGATGCCCTCGACAGAAGAAAGTTGATCTGCAAGCTTATGCAGATGACCAAAGAACAGTTGGTGCCTGAGGGAGTAGATGTCTGACAACCCCAGCAAAACTATTAATTCCCTTCACCAGGAGAAGAATTGGAGATCTAACGTCACTTCCTCTCAATAGTGAGGTCATTCCATTTGGAATGGAGGTGAAATATCTTGGCATTGTCTCTGATGAAAGACTCACCTGGAACGCTCACATGGAAAAAGTTTTACACAAAGCCAGAATGTCTCTATGAACATGTTGAAAGATTTGTGGTGAAACTTGGGGTTTAGGTTTCAAACAAATCCATTGGATATATGTGATGATTGTCAGACCAATGATCACTTATGGTGCAATTACGTGGTGGCCGAAGGCTTTACAGAAAATGGCCCAAACGAAGCTCTCTGTATTACAGAGACAGGCTTGTCTAGATATCAGTGGTGCCATAAGTACCACACCGTCAACGGCCATGGATATCCTTCTAGATCTACCTCCTCCTCACATTCTTCTGGAGAGAAAGGCTAGATGGAGTGCATATAGACTTGTGCATATTGCGAATTGCACAAATCAATTCATTGCAGAGAACAACAGACTGTTGGTTAACACTGAAAATGACCTTTGACATTATGCCTCCAACAGTCAACTACAAACTGCCTAATAAAGTCCTATTCCCGAGTAGAGAGGACTGGATCCTCCAAGTGAAGGAAATATTAGGAGCAGATAGTTGTTTACTCACAGATGAATCAAAAATACCTTTCGATTCTGGTGCAGGTGTTTTCAGTCCCAGGCACAGGATATAGATATCTACCAGCCTAGAAACTTATGCGACTGTACTTCAAGCGGAAATTTACGCTATTGAATTGTGTGCGGAGAGATTGGAAAAATCCTACCTCATATACAAGTCAATAAAAATATTCTCTGACAATCAAGCGGCTTTGGAATCTCTTGGCTCCTACCGAGCAACATCTAAATTGGTAGCAAATTGCCAAAAACGACTCTCCTCGATAGAAAGACTTAACAGATTTTCTCTGGTCTGGATTCCTGGCCTTACCCGCCTGGAAGGCAATGAAGCTGCTGACTCCCTTACAAAGGAGGGTGCTGCAAGCAGAACCTGTAATTGGCATCGCTTTGGGCTTTGCCAAACAAACATCGAACACCTGGATGGCAAGAAGATTTATGGACTTCTGGTAGAATCTAGGATCTAGGAATCTAGGAATCTAGGAATCTAGGAATCTAGGATTGGCTCACACCAAAGCGTTCATTCACCCTTCGAAGCTTGATACCAAACAGTTGTTGGACTACAGTTGGGAAGAACTACGATGTCTAACAGGCTTTCTTACAGGTCACTGTCATTTGGATCATCATATGCAGAGACCCGGACTGTCGAAAGACAGTGTATGTTGCCTCTGTTTGGAAAATGATGAAACAGCAGAACATATACTTGCCCGCTGGGGGGACCGAATCAGGTTTTTAGAGTTCGGCAGAGACGTAGTCTTACCATCTGACCTGAAAGACCACTAACCATAAAATTTTAATGACTTTCTTATAGACTCAATTAAAGAAGCTTTCGAACTTACCAATAATGGTTTACAATTATTCAGTGAGAAATACAATTTTTAAATAACAATATTTCTGTGTGATGCTGTTGCAAAAGCACAAATATTAACAGTGAAGGTTCTTGCAAAGGATGAGAGATGCAACAAAGGATGAGAAACACAGAGATAGGGCCGCATTACTCGTACGTAGCCATCAAATTTTATAATCATATAACCATACGAGTATTGGTTAGAGAAGGCTGTAGCAGAAATACATTCAAATAACGTGTTATTGATCTGTTTTGCGACGAATTCCATTAGTTCGAACTTTCATTATCTAGTATGATGTGAAATTATTTGAAATCTCTGAAAGAACTAATTTGATCGAAAATCAAAATGAATACTTAGCTGAAAACAAAAAAAAAATTGAATTGAAATATTTCAAGGCAAGTTATTTCACGACGTTTCGACGGTTAGTATCCACAATCATCTTCGGGAGATGACTGGACTAATTTCTCCGATAGATGACTATTTATAGGTCATTCGAGTGCTTTCACCTATCCCTTTTTTCTCCTATACGCTTTAGCAGGAGTTGGCCATTTTTTCGCTTCTTTATGGGGTTCCTTAGGTTGTGCCTATATCGGGAAAATTAAAAAGCCATTGAAAGTTCGCATTGCCGAGAACATGACACACATACAGCGAGAAGAAACCAGCAAATTGGGAATAGCAGAGAGTTTCGACTCGTCAACAAAACATCAAGTAGTCTCATGCTGAGATCATCCACAGGGTGGAACACTGGTTTAGGAGGAAAGTCAAAGAAGCCGCATATATGTTGTCCAACAACGTATCAGTATTCAGCCAAGCTAGCGTATTGATACGCAACGAATTGAAACCCATAATCAAGCAAAAAACTCATTTACTGGGTGAACAAATTCATAAACGTCTTCGAATTTAGTGGTTTCAAATGTGCATTGTGTGTAATTAGTAGGTACCTACATTAGCATATTGAATCTAATGACTGTTATATTTTCCATATTCTTTTTTTCTGGTGTGTTGTTGAATTATATTTTTTTGTATAGCTTTGTAACGGTGTATATTGTGAGCTTTCATAAAGTCTTTCGTTCTATCCATCAGTTCTTGCACTGAAGATGTTGAAATCATTCAAACCCGGTATATTTTTCAAGTTTATTGCGACCATTATTTTGATAGATTCAGTTTGTTAAATATCACAAATGATTATATGAAAGGTGATATTTTTTTGACCTATATGCACTTGCATCTTTTAAAAGTGGTGAACAATTGTTTTTATGGACTGGTGAGCTATGAACCACCTCCCGATAAAATTCTGATTGCTCAGTTCATCGGAATTCCTTAATATTTGTGAATTATGAGTTTTTTCATTTCTATAAAAATCCCTTTCATTTCCATGGGTCTCTTAGGAATTTTAAGAATTGAAAAGCTATAGAGTTCCATCAATGCCTACTTTATCAAACTTTTCTGATATTTTCATTTGCAGTTGAAGTTCCTAGTAAATATTTCTTCACAATATTTATT